CCTCCGACTGGATTCGTCTGAAAGAAGAAAGTCATATACACCTAGGATGACTTGAGGGTGAGTAATTTAGGGACTAATTTTCATTTTTGGGTGAACTAACCCTTTAATGCAGGTTGCATGTGAGTGGGTACAAGAGAGTGTAACTACAAATGAATAATTGAGTCAACACAACTGATATGATGAACTGAACAAACAATATTGATTAGCAGATGCTTGTGTATAAAGGATGTGCTTTGTTCATTTCCACACCAATTGTTATTTTATGTATGTAGTCTTCTGCCTTTTAAAAGGACCTCATTTAATATGGTTTTGACAGTCCTCACAAACATTACAATGGAGCAACACATCTTAACATCAGACAGCAATGTTCACTGTTGATTGCTGAAAACTGGCTGAATTGAAAGAATGTCAGGCTGCTTATAGTACAGGTGCATCTCAATAAATTAGAATGTCGTGGAAAAGTACCAAGACATTTTGGAGCACTTCATGCTTCCTTCTGCTGACCAGCTTTTTGAAGATGCTGATTTCATTTTCCAGCAGGATTTGGCACCTGCCCACACTGCCAAAAGCACCAAAAGTTGGTTAAATGACCATGGTGTTGGTGTGCTTGACTGGCCAGCAAACTCACCAGACCTGAACCCCATGGGATATTGTCAAGAGGAAAATGACAAACAAGAGACCAAAAAATGCAGATGAGCTGAAGGCCACTGTCAAAGAAACCTGGGCTTCCATACCACCTCAGCAGTGCCACAAACTGATCACCTCCATGCCACGCCGAATTGAGGCAGTAATTAAAGCAAAAGGAGCCCCTACCAAGTATTGAGTACATGTACAGTAAATGAACATACTTTCCAGAAGGCCAACAATTCACTAAAAATGTTTTTTTTTTATTGGTCTTATGAAGTATTCTAATTTGTTGAGATAGTGAATTGGTGGGTTTTTGTTAAATGTGAGCCAAAATCATCACAATTAAAATAACCAAAGACTTAAACTACTTCAGTCTGTGTGCACTGAATTTATTTAATACACGAGTTTCACAATTTGAGTTGAATTACTGAAATAAATTAACTTTTCCACGACATTCTAATTTATTGAGATGCACCTGTAATACTTCCTTACTGTAATGTAATAGCCTATCTAATGTCTACTGTAGTACTTCTGGGATTGAAATTGCTCCCCATAAATACCAGTGTGTTTCCTTGTCTGTGAAGATTATTAGTCATTCAGGTAATCGAAGGATGTCTTGTTTTGTGTGGCCACTCATCCGTGGAGTGGTGGAGAATAAGATTTCCCAAGAGTGGATGAAGTCTCACGGATGAGTGGAGAAACTTTTTAAATTAATAGAAAAGCATCTTACCCAAATGACCCAGAATTATTTATACATGAAGTGTTTCAAGTAAAACATACATAAATATTTTTGTAACTTTAAATTACATTTTATTTGATGTTATGTATATATGTACACATTTTAATAATTTAGATATTTATTTAACAATTAATATGTAACAATTTAATAGTTTTTATATGTTACTTATTAATTGTTGGACAGTAATATATATTTTCAACATTTTTTCATAATATTTACAGTACAAGATAAACAAAGCAGCAGTAATACAGTAGTTAAAATGCTATTATCCACTATTTTACATTTTGTACAAGTCTATGTAAAATTATACCAGTATTAATATCAATATATACATAAAGTTAAAAGTTTGGGGTCAGTAAGATTTTTCTTTTCAAATAAATTAATCCTTTTTTCAAGCAAGGATGCATTAAATTGATAGGAAGTGACAGTAAACACATGTATAATGTTACTAAAGATTTTCATTTTAAATAAAAGCTGTTCTTTTGAACATTTTATTCATCAAAGAAAAAATATATTATGGTTTCCACACAAATATTAAGTAGGACAACTGTTTTCAACATTGGTAATAAGAAAAAAGGTTTCCAATATTAAAATGATTTTTAAAGGATCATGTGACTGAACACTGGACCTCAGCTTTACCATGACAGGAATAAATTACAAGTTTTTACATTTCCACATTATGGCTGTTTTTATCAAAAAGAGGCAGCCTTGGTGAGCATAAAAGACTTAATTCAAAAAGCATTAAAAAATCTCACCAACCCCAAACTTTTTTATAGTGTGTTTATATATATATTACATACACAGTATGCACACACTTCATAATATATAGACACTTAATGTATCAGATCTTCAGAATGTCTGTTTTTGACATGTTTGGAGAGTGGATTACAGATATTGTGCTGCTTGTGTGCTCCTTCCCATGCACAAAGCTCCAGAAAGCCTGTTGAAACTTCTGCCAATGTATAAAGTGCTAGGTTGAAGAAGGTGTTGAGGCCAGCCAGGGGTCGTGACAATATGTAGGCTGCATGGATGCCTCTCCTCTGCATGCATGACACATCAGTTCTGCGCAGGCTATCCACCCTCAGTAAACGCATGATATGATATGGCAAGAAGCACAGCACAAACACGACCAGAATCAGAATGGAAAGCATGCAAACTCTGGAACGACTTGGCCTGTTTCTGGATACGCTGCTGCCCAGAGAGCCTGCAATGTGCGTGTAGCTCCAGCACACCACCAGCAATGGCAATACATATCCAAACACTGTGAGTATCCAACCGTACCACCACACCACCTGTGGATCATTACTGGTGAAATCAAGGCATTTTGTCAAGTTGTCCTTCTGTTGTACTGTAATCATCCCCAGCATTGGGCCAATTTCCACTAGGGAAACGGCCCAGACTGCCAGACAAGCCAAAGTGCCCCATATTTTCCTCTGAAACTCAGCAGCCTTCAGTGGGTACACCACTGCAATGTAACGGAAGATGCTGAGGCAGGTTAGGAAGAGGATACTGCCGTAGAGGTTGTAGTAGAAGCAGAAGCGGATGCAACGGCACATGAACTCTCCAAATGTCCAGTTTCTGGTAATGTAAAACTGGTCCAGCACAGGTAAACTCAACGCATACAGCAAATCAGCTACTGTCAGATTCACCATTATAATGCTGCTGCTCTTCCAGGGCCTTAGTTTTGCCAGGTAAATGACAATTGCCAGTAAGTTTCCCATAAGTCCAACTACAGAAATGATGCTGTACATCACTGGCAGATAATAAGTCTTAATGTAGTCATCAATAGGAAGACAGTCAGTTGAATTATTTTCCAGACCTGCCATTGCTTTCTGTTGCTTCTCAAAAACAAATACAAAAAGTGACAGCGTTTTTACTGTTTTTATTTTTTACACTGAAAATGACAGAAATTATCTTAGAATAATAAATTTAGCCATATATATATATATATATATATATATATACGATAATATAGATTGATATATTATGTTTTGGATATTTAATGATTAACCACATGACACTTGAAATATATATACTGTAATATATATATATATATATATATATATATATACTGTGCACAGCATAAATGAGTACACCCCTTCTGAATAAATATAAAATATGTATTTTCTTAATGATCACTAATATAATTCATGGAAAGATGGCAAAATTGAAACATATTAAACATATACTTAATAAAAACAACAAAATATATGCCAATATTTTCTGTAAGATAAGTCAATTAGCCAATTTTGTTTAAATGAAGGAGTGCAGAAATGAGTACAGCCTAGATTTCATTCATAAAACGTACAATATTCTAGTACTTAGTAGGTCCTCCATAAGTAAATTAGCCAATTTCGTTTAAATGAAGGATAGCAGAAATGAGTACACCCTAGATTTAATTCGGAAAATGTATAATATTCTAGTACTTAGTATGTCCTCCAGAACTTAAAGTATACTGCTCTGACCCTTCTTGGCACTGAGTGTACAAGTTCATAACAAATTTTCACATATGTCCTGTTTAACTCCTGGAGGACGACCTCCTTAAATGCTCTGGTCTTTAATGTTGCTCAGCTCGTCTCTACAGAATCTCTCGCAGCTCTCATGACTGAGTGAAATACATGTCCATTGAAGGATTTTCACCTTGGGAGAACGAATATCTTCATTGTCATGCTGAAAAAATGCCCAATAATACAGGGAATGAGGGGAGGGTAGCTTCTTCTGTTTCAAGTTTTTGTATTACATCATACAGTGGTGTGTGAATTCATGACAGCGTTGATAAAGCACAACTCCCTCACACCTTCAGCACTCATTCATCCA